TGTTGTTACAACTTACAACTCTATGATTATTGGGTGTTTTTGCACATTCTTAAATATGAAGATCTAAATGAAATGAACCAGATAACCTTATAATACTATAAATCTATAATAGCACCAAATTGATACATATAAGGTAATGATACAATTTCAGCAGTCATATAGATCTTGTTTCATCATGTTAATAACTAACCAACAGTTTGCACAAAGGAATCAAGATTTTATGATGCCGAATTTGATAATTTCTTGAGCTATTTGAAGAACACAGTAATTCCCGCAAAGCTTGAGCATCTTTTTTCATAATTAATAATACATATGCTGATATCAGAGATGTCGTCTACTAAACACAAGGACTTGTGAGTGTATCAATAAGCTGATTAGCAAGATTGATGGTTGCTTCTAAGTTTCCTACTCTATGACTAAACCAGATCTATCTATTATTTAGAATACCTTTGAATTTAATATGGAGGAGAACAAGGTCATCAAGCGTATATACGTACATGTATTTTCTTATCTTCGAGTAAAGAAGTTGCGGTTTAATTTGGATGTCAAATCTACTCTCTCAAAATGCAATACTGAAATCAATTTTGTCGCATAGCATCATCAACAATTATTCTATTCTATTCTTTGTTTGTGCGATCTGGTAAATGTACTTTGCATCTTTTCCTTTGGGAATGTCAAATCCACATCGATAATCAAGTTCAAATTAAGCTCTTCACATGTATCCTTTTCCCGAATAAAAAGGGTATACACATAACTATCAAGTTAAATTAAGCAGCAAATACTTCAACACGAGAAATAACTACGCACAATCGGTAAATCGGAACCCTATATACACAAATAATAGTCTAAAGATAAAAAGATGCATTAATTCAATAGGGGAAAAACGATAGTATCACAAAAGAAGAGAATGCTGTGATTAGGGCAAGAAAATTTCACCCGTAAGTTCCTTCACCAATTTGTTCAAGCTTTTCGAAACACTCTACGCTTCGAGAACCCCATGATGGCGATTCTTCCAGATTAAGCTGACCATATGCCGCACCAGCCATGTCTCCCCTTTCTCTCGTTACAGGAGGAAGGATTTTGTAGAAACGGCAGCCTGATGATTTGTGAATTCTTTTATACGTAATCAGTAGTGCGCATTTATATGTAGCAAATGTCCAATCTAGGTCAACCTCAAATAATAATATTTTATGCCCAAAATTGATAAAATCAGTTAAATATATGTAATGGTATTTTATTTTTGTGTAGTCTATTTAATTACATGGTTGAAGCTCGTTACATGACACTCACCTATTTAACATCGTCCCATTTATGTCTATCTACATCAATATTCATTGTTGTCGACTCTTTCTTAATCATTCACCGTCTTTCTATCTATATATTTTATGTGTCATCTACCCTCATCTTATCAATCTACATAACATCACACAACATATCGGTGCATCATCTTTCTCAGGTGCTTATCACAACATTAGCGATGTAAATCAGTCCGGAAGCGAAAGAACCAAAAAATGATTAAGGTATGAACGGGAAACCGAGAACCGGATTGAATACCACTAATTGTTTCCAACCGGTTTCAGTTCGGTTCTACTACGAAATGTGTTGTCTAAAAAGGTGTTTGGTATCCGAATCGACCCGGACCGGTACCGAAAACTGAAAATGATGAATTGGGAGGACCGAACCGAATACCACTAATCGGTTCCAATCGGTTCCTGTCCGGTTTTTGGATTTAAAAGCTCATACATACACAACATCATGACTTATGTTGTCTTGATCAATCCTCCAATAAAATTATCATCACGTGCAGGGGCGAAGCCAGAATTTTTTTTCAGGGAGGTCCTTATATATATATATATATATATACTAGCCGTTTACCCGCGCCAAGCGATGGGTGCGAATAGTTTATTTCGACAATAATTTCCATTCAGAAAAATGTTATATTTCAAGGAGCACAAGTTACTTTTCGACAAATTGTTTCCTTTCGGTGTTTATTGTTCATTCACAAATGTCCGATTGTTATGATTAACCACGAAACAGTTATTATATTGTCTTAAAAAACAATATTTACAAAAAAAGTTAAAATTAGAATTGAAAATTAGATTGTATAATTATTCAAACAAATGAAAGTACATTTCTATTTCTTGCATTTAGCCCAGTCAGGGGCTAAATGCAAGATATAGCAATGTAGTTTCATTTGTTTGTCTAATCCAGTGTCATACTTTCATTTAAAATTCATAAGTTTTTAAATTTTTTTTCATATTAAACCTTAAATAAGAAGAAAAAAGAAAACAAAAAGTTAGAATTAGAAATGAATGTTTGATGTTATAAAAATAAGTGAAAGCACATTGCTATTTTTTGCATTTTGCCCAATCAAAAGGTAACTGAAATATATAGCAATGTACTTTCATTTGTTTGTCTCATATAGTATCATACTTTCATTTCAAATTACTAATTTTTATAAAACATTTATGCAACATATGCATACTAATTATATTATTTGATTTTCACTAACAAAATACGTAAAAGGGAAAACCAATCAAAGTACATTGATACTTTTTACAGTTAGCACCTATTAGGCTAAATGCAAAAAAATAACAATGTACTTTCATTTGTTTCTAGAACATTGCATATTCTTTTCATTTATATTTCTTTTTAAAAATTTATTCTAATTTTTCCCTATTAAACCATAATATTACAAAAGTACAATGCTATAATAGGAACGATATTGAAAGTATAATGCCTATATTGCAAATAAAAGCAATAAGCACAATCAAAACCAACACCAATCAACAAACAAATCACAAGGAAGCAGCCAAGCAAGCACCAAGGGCAAAAATGGTCAACCACGCACCACAAGAGCACCAAAATATGATAGTAGAGAGCCCAACACAGTTTTCCAAGAAGAAAAAAATAATATATATAAAATAATTAAAAAATAAGTGTTAAAATATGTATATAAAAATAATTAAAACATGTGTATTAAGGAAAAAAAACATTTTTTTGACTATCATACATTCTTAGGTATTCTTACTGATAACTACTTTAGTAAAAAAAACTCAAAAAAAAAAAGAAAAATTAAAGAATAAAATATATAATTTTTATTCCTTTCTCGTTTATATCAAACAATTTTAAAAAAATCACTTATATTGAAAATGATAATTTTAAAATGCTTAATATCATCAATTTTTAAACAAATATCATATTTTATATTATTTTATTGGTTATATTTCTAAATTTGTTATGCTTGTTAATTTCTTGGTAGTTTAAACAAAAACACGGATCAATTTCTTAAAGTATCTATTCTAAGTTCTCATGGAAATTCAAATTTTGAATTTGAAATGTATCTTTTATGTTAAAAATATACTTTTAATATGAAAACAATGATTGAATTTGAAAGGCTTTGTTTTTTATTTTTGATAAAAAGAATTGACAGCTATCCCATTTTTGTTTTGCATACAACTTTTTATAAGGGAGTTATACGTAATTTTATTAGAAACCACCATGTTGTAATAAAAAAACAGAAAATACAATGTTATTATAAGGAGAAAATGGAAAGTACAATGTTATTTCTTACATTTAGGCCTTTATTTTTTATATAAAAAAATTGACAGCTAGCCGCATACCCGTGCAACACGACGGGCGACGATTGGGTTCTTTTCGACAACACTGCAGTGCAATGTCACTGTGGCGAATAGTTTCCTCCAAAAACAAATTCAAAATTGTCACAAAAAAATTGTCATATAGTGCGTATAAGCTGGTGGTACATCCCAATGCCAAACTGGGGTAAATTATTTTTTGTTGATAAGCATAGCTTTAAGAAACTTCTAGGGTGCATTTTTTTCACAACATCTGTTGGAAGAATCTGATTTTGCCAAAAGAATTGAATAACGAAAATACAAAGAACGTTTTTTCGACATAATGTGAAATAAATTTTTTTTAACCATCTCCAAAATGATTCGCATTGATAAAGGATATTAGTGTCGATTTGGTGCTTTTAATTTTAATTTTTTATTTCAAATTATACAACCAAAGTATCAAGTGTGCCAAAATAAGAGTGCATATATTAATTTCAAAAACTATCTATTAGTGGATTTGTTTTATTCATATTACGATTTTTATTACATTTTTAAACTATTAAATTACTTATAAATCAATATTAAATTATCTGCTTACTTTTGTTAATTTACAATTGGTAAAATGTAAATTATGATTAAGTAGTTGTTACAAAAACCCAACAAAGTTTCATATCAATTTAAATAGAACTTGTTGTAACTATAAGTATTAAAAGAACTAATAAACCAATTTAAAATTATCAAATCACTTTAATTAGTTGACTAACAATTGGTAAAAAACAAACTGTTATCAACATGCCACAACTCTCTTCAAACGTTATTTGGTGTCGTTTTACCCTCTTGGACCAGATTTGCCTTATTGGTCTTTTAGAGCAATCTTTAGAAATAAGATAAGTAATGAATTAAAGTAGAATGCTATAAAAGAATATCTTAAACATACACAGTGGTAAAAAAACAGCAAAAACAAATAATGTTTCTTTTTGGGGTTGGATGATCTGACTTAATGACCAATTTACCCATCTATTGGTATAAATGAAAAATGATCACCTTCTACATGAAAAAAATGTTGTGAATTTTAATAACATAAAGAGAACACTACAATATTTCTTCATGCCAAGTGTTGAATGAATTTTTTTAGCAAAATAGCAATTTAAAATGACCAATATACCCCTTTCCCTGCCACAACAACACACAAATACAGTCACATGCGCACCGATTTTCTATCTTTTTCAAAATGACCAATATAGCCCTCCTCATCCCCTGCATAGCCACACTCCCCTACCCAAAACATACAGATACAGATACAGTGGCATGTAATATGCTCTAACGATAAAGACTTTAAAGTAAGTTTTGAACTATTTAAAATCATTTTTTTTAATTCAAACTTTTCTATGATGTGGAAGAACTATAAACCCATGAGCTCTTGAAGCCACAATCTCGTTTCCAACAACGCCTTTCTATAAGTACAAACTTTTCTATATGTAGACTTTTTAACCCGCATACACACATAGTCATTTTACCTTTTGATATGAATTATTGACTTTTACTAAAGAAATAAACATATCGAATCAAGTGCAATTTACAAAATATGATATTTCCTTCCATTTTGCCCCACCACTTTATCAACAATGTAATTAATTATTCACAAGAGAACTTAACCAAAAGCAAAAAGATCCCAACTAAATCCAGGAACAAAACACACATATCCTGTCAAACAACCCGCATATACACTAACCTCATCAGTCTACTTCTTTTAAATCATACCTCAAAATGTAGCAGAAGTTCCTTTCATACCCATGGCCTTGAAATCTTCATCTTCTGTTCATCACAAAAAAAAAGATTGTAAAAATCATCATAACGAAAACAAAAAGAAAGAATTTAATTACTGAACAACGATTATTTTAATTTAACTGAAAAGGTATAGGAACCAAAACCAGAAGTTGCCATTATAGATATAACACAACCCACCAGAGCAAATAAAAACAAATTTATTATAACTATGAACACTATATTTCACCTACCTTTAAGAAAAATATTCAACACTGTTGGATTTGGGAAAAATTGAGATTGAAGAGAAATTTTCACCCAGACTAGTCTTGAACAGAACCTGTATTGTTCAAAATTACACAATGTTTGACATTTTTTACAATACCATAACTCCATAAGCTTTGAACATGAATTTTGATTTTAAAAAATTATACAATCAAACTTTTAACCTGAAAAACATTACCATGAGTGTCAAATAAAAATCATGAACAATTTTCTAGATCTGGTTCTAGAAAAGTAAAGTAAACAGTTAAATTAACTAACACATATTCCATATCCGATTAACAAACCTCAGTATGAGTAGATTAGGCCAAGTGCCTTATTCCTCCTCAAGAAAATAGATACATTGCTTCTTAAAGATGACCCTTGGAGACTTGCTTACTAAGACCATCTCCAACAACATGCTTTGTACCTAAAAAACCCCAATTACCACAATTCACTGGTCTAACTGATCTGAAACATCAAGTTAGTAAATCAAGGCTAGAAAACAAATAACACACATATTTCAAAATTGATTTAGGGTTAGAAAACAATATTAGTTAAATATAGAAAGCATCGACCAAAAATAAAGAGCACATACATAATTCGAATATAATTAACATCAACCAAAAATGGATTCAGGTCTAGAAATTAGCAAGCATAAATTAAGATAGTGCTCTGTTTAGGGTTAGAACCAACTATAAAAATAAAAAAATTACAACACCAACGTAAACACATATCCTTCCATTGTCACCTGCATATCAATCTTATCTTCATTAATACAAAAATGAAGATCGCGACAGAAACAGAGAAAGAAGGAATGGTGCATGGTTATGAGATTCATCGTCATCATTGGTGTGGTTGTATGGTGGTGGAGACATTGCTAGTTTTTTGGTGGAGTGTGCACATACAGAGAGCAACGACGGTGGTGGGGTTTTTCTGTGATGGTGGTTGAAGGCAATGTGGGTTCCGAGATGGTGGTTAGTTGGTGATTGTGGCATTAAGCATTGTTGGTTCTAGGTTTTTCAGAAGTGTGACGAATGGATCAGTAGTCGTGAGTGGTGCGATGGTTGTGTTTCAAATAGCGATTCTCCAATGTTCGGTGTTTTAAACTACATGCTGGGCAGATGAAAGAGAAAGAAAAGGTCAGATAAAGATAGAAAGGAAACAGATAGGTGGGGCTTTGTCAAATACATGCGAGACTTAGTGGGTACCCTATATATATATATATATATATATATATATATATATATATATATATATATATGTTTTTATTTTTAATCAATTCATAAATAAAAATGCATAAGCGAAAGCTTAGTAGACAAAATAAGTTTTTTTAACAATCAAACATGTAATTTTTTAAAGACTTTTTTTTTCAAAAAAATGGTTTAATTTGTAAATTTGAATGTTATTGTTTGAATATTATTGTTTGTGTTTTAAGACATTGTAATTATGGTGCTTTATATTATTTCTATTGGGTTTTGTTTTCTCGGTTAATATATAATTGAGTTATTTTTCATAAAAGTTCAAAACTTTGTAGCGGTGAAAAATCCCCGATTACCCATTGAGGATCCCCGTTCCCCATTGGAGATAGGGATGGGGATAAATTTTTAATCCCCGATGGGGATGAGGATGGAGATTCGGGTATGGGGATGGGGAACACGAAACCTGATATACTCGTACCCGTTGCCATCCCTAAACACACACACACACACAGACACACACACACACACACTCTCTCTCTCTCTCTCTCTCTCTCCTCTCTCTCTCTCTCTCTCGTGTTTGACTGACTTTTTTAGTTTTTATTTTTATTTTTATTTTGCAATCGATGGAAATAAAAAAAAAAGTCTTTTTCACTTTTTTTGATTGTTTACACCTAACAGCTAGAACATTATATATATATATATATATATATTATAATATATATATAATATATATATATATATAATATATATATATATATTACCACTCTATACATGTTAAACACATCTTTCATATTATTCACACAAATTCTTATACTTTCTCTAAAAAAGTCACTCAACCATAATGTCATCATCGATATCTAGTTCGTCCTTATTCGATGGTGCAAGAAGAGGCCAATTATCGGTTCCGTCATGTCAAAAACAGTGACATATTTTCAAAACCGACAAGCTCAAAGTTTATTTTCACATTTTCAAATGAGAAGACCTCCGTTGAAGAGAAATCGCGAAGCCGGACACAATTGTCTTATAGAAGACTATTTTGCAGATGATCTCGTGTACGTTGAAGTGTAAAGGCTGCAACACATAATGTAAATGTGCATCATATTACATAATATGATTCTAGAAGATAAAGGAAGAGCGATATGCTACTACGACAAAAACGAAGTTTTGCCATACGTCAAATGAGTAGCTTTTGGTACGCAAGAGTATATGACAAATAAAAGAGAAGTATATGATCGTGACATTAATCACTCCATTTGTCCAGATTTGGTGGAACATATTTATAGGGCTCACGTACAGCCTGAGGCTGAGTATTGACACAATGATTTGTTTGACGAATCAGATGAAGATTCAGATATGTTCATCGATGACTCGGGCGAGGACTCAGATTGCGATGACAACGATTCAAAGTGACGTACTTTTTGAATAATAGTTTTTTATTTTTATTATGTAATTTTTAATTATGTTTTCTAGGTTTTATTATGTGATTTTTATTTTTAAGTAATGAAATATTTCTATTTTAATTAATGTTTATATTTATTAATAATTTTTTAATTAATTCTATTATTTTAGTTATAGACTTTAAAAATTAATTTTATTTTTAAAAAGTAAAAATAAAAAGTAATGAAATATGACAATTTCTTATTTTTGATGAATGAATGAAAAATTAAACGTGCTGAGAAAATGAGTTATGAGTGGTGAGTATACCCTCCCATCTAATATTTGATTCATAGACCCTAAAATAGTTATCATGTATCCATGATGGTATATTTTTTCTCAAAATGTCAAATGTCATAAAATAATGGCACTTTACAAAAACGCAAAGTTGATGCTGCAAAATTTTCTTAGACCAATAACGGTTTCCGAAAATTACTAATACTTCCTTACTAACAAATCTTAAAATTATGGTCATCAAATTAAAATTCTGCTATTGACCGGATTTGGAAAAAGATGAAAAATGTAAATTGAACATAAAAGAAAATAATTTTAGTCGTTTTGTTTATTTTAAAAATTATTTTCAATTTACTGTCCATAACCTTTTATATTTTAGTACAGTGTAAAATAATAAACCCAATTACTAACTTCTAAAATAAACCTTTACAATTTTACATATCGATTTCAAGACACTTTTTAAAATTAAAAATCTTCAAAAAAAACATATTTTATTTGTAAGTTTGCAAGGATGAAAAAGACAAAATTTGGTGGATAAGCTCTACCCCAATATCATTGAGATTTGAGAGTTAATGAAGCAAGCAAAACTTGTTTTCGTAAAAGCCACTACATCTACATTGAAAACCCCAACCCCACCAAACATTCCTCTTTAATACCCCTTCCAGACTCTGTCAATTCTTCTAAATTCGTCTCTTCATCGTTTCTTCACCTAAATTGATTCCTCTCTGTTGCTCCCTGTGTGATTTTGTGTATTCTGATGGCAATTTCTGATATGGTGGTTGGTAATTTGACGATCTTGTATTTGGTGGTGATAGCAGCGATCAAAGTTTACAGCCAACTAAGCGGGCGGTGCTACGGCGGAGCGGCGATGTTGATTCTGTCGACGGTAGTCGTTTGGATGTTGTTAGTAGGGGCGCTGACGTGGGACGTATCTCGCAAGGTGGTGACGTGTGCGGTGGTTACTCGTGGTCATGATGAGGTGGAGGTGGCACATGAGCTGTGTCGAGGTGGCATATGTTGGCACGGTGTTGCCGTTAAGTATCCGGCGTCACAAGTCCGGTTCAGGCTACCTCAACAGCAAACCATGAACCGGCGATGATATAATTCAAGCAAAAATAAAAGTATAAAAAGTAAAATTAAGAAAGAATGTATTTTGTAGGTGGATAGTATCATAGTAGATTAATTTTGTTTTCTTGAAAAGTTTTCAATATAATTTCACATAATTTAAAGGAATGGAGTAAAAAAGTATATCCAAAATTTCAAAAGGTTGAATCCTCGTGAGTCCGTAACGCTAACCGGTTTGGGCGAATAGTCAATGTGCAACAAGGTGCCGGCAACAAGGTGTAGCAAGTGTGCTACCTCACATGCCACATAATTAAGTGGTAATGGTGTTATAACACCAAGTGGGAAAATGAACAACAAGATACAACACCAACTTTTTGTAAATAAATATGTTTTCTTTTTTATTTTTTTTTTCCGAAATTGGTTTTTTTTTTTTTTTACTTTTTCGTTTTTTTTTTCGTTTTGCATTTTTTTAATCACTAACATGAATTTTTTTTTTATAAAAAATAATTTTTTTAAAAAAAAAAGACATAATATTTAAAATCTAAAATTACGATTACAATTAAAAAAAACATAATTTTAAACCTAATATTATAACTAAAATATCATTCAGATTACTACTAAAACCTAATATTTTAAACCTAATATTATAACTAAAATATCATTCAGATTACTACTAATTTTCATATCCCGCAAATCCGAGAGGCGATGTTGTGTTTGGGTTTGATGATGGAGGGGGGTGTTTGAGTTTTGCTCCATTTTTTGAAATTTAAGAAAATATGTGTATAAGATATAGAGAGAATGAGAGAAAGGTTTATAAAAATTTGAAATAAAATGAGTATATATATATATATATATATATATATATATATATATAGGTAAAAAGGTAATTTTTTTTGAATTTGACCGTTTTCAAACGGTCTAAAGTGACAACGGTTATTTTTTTGGACGTTACACTTCGTTTCCATGGCAACGAGAATCAACGCAACGAGCAACAACAAGATGGGGGGGGGGGGGGGTGTGCAGCTCGTCGTAACGCCGTTGAGGGGTGCCACCTCATCCGCGTTTCTTCTCGTTTGGACCTATACCGCATACTCTAAGAGGTTCCCGCTAAATAAGGAAATTTGTTTGTTTCATCTCAAGCCCAAAACATATGGAACTACGCACTGGAATTAGAATTTAAAGGATTGGATGTAAAGAAATTAAAGTTCATTACTTCGGGTAATTTCTAAAGTGTCTTTCTTCCAAAATCCATACTCGTACCAAGATACCCATATTGAATCCCTTACACGTATCAAGATACCCATGTTGAATCCTTTTAATCAGTGGTGCAAACAAGCCGAGCTGGCGAGTCTCATCAACCTCGGGCTTGGTTTGTTTAAATTTATTGGGTTTGAACACGAACTCGGCTTGTTTCGAGCCTTATGGTACGAAGCTCTCGATTGGCTCGTTTAGAATTACAGGAACTCGGGTTCGACTCGTATATGTATACCTTAATTTCCTAAAATGGTGTTTTCTTAAATATTTATTAATTTTAATTTATAAAAATAAAATATTAAATTTTAAATTATATAGGTAGGCTCGTTTAGCTCGCTTGCCTAATCAGTCTCGTTTAATAAACAAATCTAATATTAAGTTCGAGGTCGGCTCGGACTCGTTTAAAATCGATTTCAAGTTGAGCTTTTGGGCGAGTTTGGCACGGAGCTTTTGGAAGCGTTTGGGAGCTTCTAGCTTTTAGCTTTTGATAAAACGCTCTAGTTTAAACAAAAAGTTTCGTTTGGCAGTACGAGCGTTTAGCTTTTAGTTTTAACAAAACACTTCAATTCTAAAAGCTACTTCATGTAGCGTTTAACAAAACGCTCATGAGCTTTTGAAATCAATTTCCATAATTACCCTTAAAAATATATTTATATATTTATTTATTTTTAATCAATTGTCCTTTTATGTAATTTTATATATTTCAAAAGCTTCCAGCTACTTTTGCCAAACATTCATAATATGATTATATGCAGGGCTTATATGGTAGAGATAACTTTTACAGCTAATATGATATGTGTTATGTGGATTGTGTGTGGGGTATGCTCTGGGGGACTCACTAAACTTTGTGTTTACGGTTTATAGTTTTGGTTTCAGGTATCATCGATTTGGAAAAGAAGAGCTCAGATTGATCGCAGTGGACACACCTACGATTTCCGCAATGAATGATTTTG